TGAGACTAGGGTTTTTGATTTCAAAAGGGCTAACTTTAGTAAATTAAGGAAATTCGTTAGGGAAGTTGATTGGACTAAAGAAATTATGGATCTTAAAGTGGAGGAGGCCTGGAATTATTTTAAGTTAAAGTCGCAGACGCTGTCAGAAGCCTGTATCCCTAGAAAAGGGAAAAAATTTATAGACAGGTGTGTTAGACCAAGCTGGATGAGCAAGCATCTCAGAGAGGTGATTAAGAAAAAGCAGAAAGCATATAAGGAGTGGAAAATGGGAGGGATCAGTAAAGAAAGCTACCTTATTGAGGTTAGAGCTTGTAGGGATAAAGTGAGAGAGGCTAAAAGTCAGGTAGAGTTGGACCTTGCAAAGGGAATTAAAACCAATAGTAAAAGGTTTTATAGCCATATAAATAGGAAAAAAAAAAGAAGAAATAGGACCGTTAATTACTAAGGATGGAGTGGAGGTTAAGGATAATCTAGGAATGGCCCAATATTTGAACAAATACTTTGCTTCAGTCTTTAATGAGGCTAATGAAGAGCTTAGGGATAATGGTAACTTAACAAATGGGACTAAAGATATGGAGGTAGATATTACCATATCCGAGGTAAAAGCCAAACTTGAACAGCTTACTGGGAGTAAATCGGGGGGCCCAGATAATCTTCATCCAAGAATATTAAAGGAATTTAAGTCCATTAGCAAAATTTTTTAATAAATCTCTAAACTCAGGGGTTGTACCATTTGACTGGAGAATTGCTAATATAGTTCCTATTTTTAAGAAAGGGGGAAAAAAAGCGACCCGGGTAACTATAGGCCTGTTAGTTTGACATCTGTAGTATGTAAGATCCTGGAAAAAATTTTGAAGGAGAAAGTAGTTAGAGACATTGAGGCTAATGGCAATTGGGACAAATTACAACATGGTTTTACAAAAGGTAGATCGTGCCAAACCAACCTGATCTCCTTTTTTGAGAAAGTAACAGATTTTTTAGATAAAGGAAATGCAGTGGATCTAATCTACCTCGACTTTAGTAAGGCATTTGATACAGTACCACATGGGGAATTATTGGTTAAATTGGAAAAGATAGGGATTAATATGAAAGTTGAGAGGTGGATAAGCAACTGGTTAAAGGGGAGACTACAGCGGGTCATACTGAAAGGTGAACTGTCAGGTTGGATGAAGGTTACTAGCGGAGTTCCTCAGGGATCAGTTTTGGGGCCAATTTTATTTAATCTTTTTATTGCTGATCTTGGCACCAAAAGTGGAAGTGTCCTAATAAAATTTGCGGATGACACAAAGTTGGGAGCTATTGCCAATTCAGAAAAGGATCGGGATATCATACAGGAAGATCTGGATGATCTTGTAAATTGGAGTGATAGCAATAGGATGAAATTTAATAGTGAGAAGTGTAAGGTTATGCATTTAGGGATTAATAACAAGAATTTTAGTTATAAGCTGGGGACACATCAGTTGGAAGTAATGGAGGAGGAGAAGGACCTCGGAGTCCTGGTTGATTATAGAATGACTATGAGCCTCCATTGTGACATGGCCGTGAAAAAGGCTAATACGATCTTGGGATGTATTAGGCGAGGTATTTCCAGTAGGGATAAGGAGGTGTTAGTGCCATTATACAAGGCATTGGTGAGACCCCATTTGGAATACTGTGTGCAGTTCTGGTCTCCCATGTTTAAGAAGGATGAATTCAAACTGGAACAGGTACAAAGAAGGGCCACTAGGATGATCCGAGGAATGGAAAACCTGTCTTATGAAAGGAGACTCAAGGAGCTTGGCTTGTTTACTTTAACCCAAAGAAGGCTGAGGGGGGGCATGATTGCACTTTTTAAATATATTAGAGGGATAAATACGAGGGAGGGAGAGGAATTATTTAAGTTTAATACCAATGTGGACACAAGAACAAATGGATATAAGCTGGCTAGTAGGAAGTTTAGACTTGAGATTAGACGAAGGTTTCTAACCATTAGAGGAGTGAGGTTCTGGAACGGCCTTCCAAGGGAAGTAGTGGGGGCAAAAGATCTATCTGGTTTCAAGATTAAACTAGATGGGTTTATGAAGGAGATGGTTTGATGAGATAACATGATCTTGGTAACTAATTGACCATTCATTATCAGTGGGAATTAGGTCAGTGGAGGGATGATAGGAGTTACTATAGAGAACTTTCTGGGTGTCTGGCTGATGAGTCTTGCCCACATGCTCAGGGTTTAGCTGATCGCCATATTTGGGGTCGGGAAGGAATTTTCCTCCAGGGTAGATTGGCAGAGGCCCTGGAGGTTTTTCGCTTTCCTCTGTAGCATGGGGTACAGATCACAGCTAGAGGATTCTCTGCATCTTGGGGTCTTCAAAGTATTTGAAGGCTTCAATATCTGAGATATAGGTGAGAGGATTATTCTAGGAGGGGTGGGTGAGATTCTGTGGCCTGCACTGTGCGGGGGGGTCAGACTAGATGATCATAATGGTCCCTTCTGACCTTGAAATCTATGAGTCTATGAGTCTATATATTTCATTAAGCATAGTTCCTGATGCTACTTATTTTTCATGGTTATTTTCTTCTTTTATTAGGAAAAATACGGGTGTCAGGATCTGTTGTCTCATTTTTTGCCACACAAATCTGCAATAAGGAAACAATCTGAATATTCCAGTTAAAGAGCCATTGATTACACTACAAAATTCATTTTTATTTACCTTGAAAGGCTTGAACTGTTCTCAGAATTAATATAGTCTTTCCCACGCCAAGAGGTGTAATACCGTACGATGTTTTTATGCTCAAACTGTGCTAGTGCTTGTACCTCACGGTGTACTTTACTAAATAAACAAAGAAAAATTCGCATTACTCATCAGTGAAGAACTGACTCTTCTTTATAAAATGAACACTAAAATTAATTAAAAATGGGATATCAAACAGCAGCATATTTATAATCTTCAGGATTAAATATCTCGTTTGAATTATTATTATTATAAGTCAATATAATTGTTTAATTTTGTAAGAAAAGCAGAATATTATATCTACTATCTGTGTTTTCTTTGTCAGGCTGCCCTGTGCTTTATTTATTTTCTGTTGCATAATCCTGAGCACTCAAGTGTTGGAATCCTGTTCAAAATGTTGGAAAGGAGAACCACCACTAAACTCCGATTCTTGTACTTAATATCTTACCTGGTCATAAGAAAAGCACAGAATTGATGGAGAAATTATGTATCCGAAGACCCTGATCCTATAAACTCTATAGCATATAACTTTCCATTTACAAGTAGTCCCTCTACACACAGAAGACTATGCATATGCAAAATTATTTGCAGGGTTGGAATCTACATTGATTATTATAAGGCTATCCAATGAATTAATGTCAATCTCACATGGGGCCTAAATATGACCTTTTGTTTGAGGAATCCATAGGGTTTACATATATATGTTAAATTTACTTCTTGAGAGTGCAATGTGAATGAAAATAAGAAATAACCTGGAACAGCACTTAATACAATATAGATGTTGCACCTCCGTAAACTGGGACTCTGGTCTGGCAACATCCATGGTGGACCAAGGCTAGGGCCGTGGCAGCCTGGCAAAAAGGCCAGGGCCATGGCAGCCCTGAAAGGATTGGGGCAACCTGGCATCTTGGCAAGGGGGCCAGAGCCAATCTGGCCAGGGCAGCCCAGCAGTGAGGCCAGGACTAGGGTCGGCTGGCAGGCAGCTCAGCTGGGAGCAGCGGGACCATCTGGAACTGGAAGAAGCTGATGGTGGAAGCAGGCAGCAGGCTGGGGGGCCGATAGCAGGGGACCTTTACTGGTCCAGCAAATTCCCTCACTCAGGACCGGTCAGGTCCTAAGGGTGCCAAACTAGGGAGGTCCAACCTATACTCATTAAAATAGGGCACCAAAACAATTTAGGCTAGAAATTACTCTGAAACTATTGTAAATAAACATGGAGGAAGATATCTTTAACATGATTTGTTAAAGAGACACAAAATGTTTTACAACTGATTATTTAAAATAAATATTATTTGGCATTTTATCAGAAATTAGAATGCCCAGAAAAGTTTTTTAGAGGTTTTTTTTATGCTCCCTTGACAAAGTTTTAGCAAGTGACACGACAAAGAAACTAGTAAAAAAAACCTCTTGCCAAATGTACAAAAAAAAAAAAAAAAAAATGGAGGCCTGATCTCCCCCTCCCATGTATAGTCATCTTAGTTGCTACTGGTCAGTACAGAGAGTTCAAACACTTTCAGACACACCTGTGGTTTTCAAAGTGACTCTATCCCCTTACATGTTCTATAAATCTGTTAATCTGTTGCTGATACATTTCATAAAGGCAGTAAGCACCATTTATAGTCAATCTATCAAGTTTTTTTCAGATTTCAAGATTCCCAGGCCAGGAGATGTCACTGTGTTCTTGTTTGACCCTGTATAACACAGGCCACAGAACTTCCCCAAAATAATTCCTGTTTGAATGAAATCATAGCTTTTAGAAAAAACATCAGGTCTTGATTTAATGATTACCAATGTCTTGGAATCCATCACGGCCCTTGGTAAATTGTTCCAATGGTAAATTGCTCCTCATTGTTAAAATGAACACTATTTCCTGACTGACTTTGTCTAGGTTCAACTGATAGGCTGAAGAGCCCTTCATTGACAAACTTCTGTTCCCAGGTAGCTCTTTGGGTCTAGCACTGTAAGAAATATTATCCAATCCTTTAATCATTCTCATAGCCCTTCCCTAGGCCCTCTGCAATTCATCAACATTCTGCTTGAATTGTGGACATCAGAATTGGATGCAATAGTCTAACCATGGTTGCACAACTCCTACAGTTTCATAAGCTGTATCTCAAAATAATATCCTCTAACCCCCGTATTCATCACTTTTGTATGGTCAGATATTCTGTACAAAGTATGCCTTGTGAGGTATTATTTGAAAATTAATGAGCTACTGAGCATTATTATCCTATTAACACGTGTGCATCATCATTGTATGTGGAGTTATGTATGAGATTTTGCTATAGATTTGTTACAGAAACATAATGTGAATTTTGAAAATGTCCACAGACTAGTCCCTCCGAGGGAACCAAAGCACTATAGACAAAGGACTTGCATGTTATCCACAGAGAGGACTCAAGCCTGAGAGATATTCCAAATGTCATGTGCACTACAGATTCATTGTCTGCATCCTAATGGGGTGAGGGGAAAAGGGACATTCCTCAATGAGAGGAAGGGCTTCTTCATTCATTTCCTGTGATACTGAGCCAGCAAAGGATAAACAATCAGCAAGTTAGCTGACCCTGGAAGCAACCCTTAAGGACATCTCAAAAGAGTACTGTCATGATAAATACGCATCAACAATGTGACACTGTTGTAGAACAAGCAAACATGATTCTGGGATACATTAACAGGAGTACTGTGAGCAAGACACAAGAAGTCATTCTTCTGCTCTACTCTATGCTGATTAGGCCTCAGTTGGAGTACTGTGTCCAGTTCTGGGCACCACATTTCAAGAGAGATGTAGAGAAATTGGTCTAGAAAACATAAGCTATGAGGGTAGACTGAAAAACTTGGGCTTGTTCAATTTAGAAAGGAGAAGACTCAGGGGGACGTGATAGATGTTTTCAAGTATCTAAAATAATGTTAAATGGAGGAAGGGGGAAAATTGTTCTCCTTGGCCTCTGAGGATAGGACAAGAAGCAGTGGACTTAAATGCAGCAACAGAGGTTTAGGTTGGACATTAGGAAAAACTTTCTGTCAGGACAGTTAAACACTGGAATAAATTGCTCAGGGAGGCTGTGGAATCTCCATCACTGGAGATATTGAAGAGCAGGTTGTACAGACATCTATCAGGGATGATCTAAATCAGGGCTACTCAATATGTGGCCTATGTGACCCTGGGACCGTTTGTTTGCAGCCTGTGGTGTGATTTGGGTTTACGTGGGGCTCAACACGTGGCCCACAAGTGGGATCCTTTGAACGTGGCCTCCACTGGGAACACGCTCCACAATGGTGAGGCATCTCCCAGGCAGGGTGAGCACTGAAAGATGCAAGTGGAAGGACTGGCTGGGACAGGCAGGGACAAGGGGTTGGTGTTTCTAACCCCCAGGGAGGAGGTGCCAGGAGTGCTGGGGCATTGTGGGAAGTGCTTTGTATTCATGCCCATCAGTGTGAAAGAAGCTATTTGCATATATATTTGCATGTATATGCAACCATACTTAATTTGTGGCCCTCGGCATGTGCTGTGAGTATCATTGTGGCCCCCAAGGCTTCCATAGTTGAGCAGCCCTGATCTAGAAGGTGCTTGGTCCTGCCATGAGGGCAGGGGACTGGATCGGATGACCTCTCAGGGTCCCTTCCAGTTCTAGTATTCTTTGATAAACAGGGCCATTCCTTGTAGCTAATTATCAAAAACAATGTTAAATAGACTCAATTCTTTAACATATTTGCCTATCTTGTTATAGAATCAAGAATAGACCTATAGGGTATAATAAGGTTATTGTTGTAATCTCTCCTCAAAATTTGTAAAAGCAACTCACCTGTGAACAGTCTTGATCGTTTGAATGGCTAACTGCCTTATGTGAATGAATGCAGCTAGTTTACCTGTGTGCACACATGAAATAGAAGATATGCTTCAAAGCAACAATCTGCACTGCCTATTCTTCATCGGCGGAAGATCCTGATGTGACAATTGCCATGAGGAGGTTTATCAGCTTACTAAAGAACTATAAAGAAAGCTTCTGACCTGATCCTTTTTATCTCAGGTCTGCTTAAATTTTAACAGGAAAAGTTAAAGTCATAAGTGAGATCTTCCAAATAATTATTTGGAATAAACTAGAAAATGCATTGAAAGACATTGACTCTGCACCTGGGGTATCTATTGGACTATATCTATTTAAATTGATTCCAGGAACACTTACAAGTCAGCAGCCTCACTATCTCTGCTATGAAACTCACCTGCGGACTTTACCTATATCTGTATCTTTTAACCACAGCCACTCTCTTCTTTTCTTTTCCTTTTATTATTAAACCCTTAGTCTTTTAGGGTATATCTACACTTGCTCCCTAGTTCAAACTAGGGAGGCAAATGAAGCATACCGAAGTTGTTAATGAAGTGCGGGATTTAAATATCCTGCGTTTCATTAGCATATTCGTGTCCGGTCACCATTTTAAAAAGCCGGTAGCCCGAATTAATTCGCTGTGTGTAGACGTGGTAGTCCGATCGGAAACTCTTCTCTCAAATTAACTGTTACTCCTCGTGCAATGAGGAGTAACAATTAGTTTCCGATCGGACTACCACGTCTACACACAGCGAATTAATTCGGGCTACCGGCTTTTTAAAATGGTGACCGGACACGAATATGCTAATGAAACGCAGGATATTTAAATCCCGCACTTCATTAACAACTTCGGTATGCTTCATTTGCCTCCCTAGTTCAAACTAGGGGGCAAGTGTAGACATACCCTTAGTTACCAAAGGACTGGCATCTACATGATAATTGGGTAATAATCAACTTATACTGACTTAGGAATCAGTCTCTGGCCCTTTGTGATTGATGAATCTCACATATGGTGAATCAATATTTCAATAACCTCTCACTATATTCAGAAGCGTAGCGAGGTTGTTATACACCCAGGGATGAAGGCAAAATTTGCACCCTCCTCCCCACCACTGCCGAACCCAGCACACGGCTGAGCCCAAACCTGGCGGGGGGAGCTTGTACTGCATTTTACCCCACCCCTTCCAGTTTGGAGCCGGGCCCCGTATGCACTAACCCTCAGGCAGAAGTGGAGAAGAGTCAGGCTGGGGGCAGAGAGGTGGGGAGGAGGCGGCTCCAGCCGGCAGCAGGCAGAAGAGGAGCAGGCGAGCAAAAGGATGACAGGGGTAGTGGAAGGGAACTAAATTGACACCCCACTAGAATGGCACCCGGGGGCAACTCCTCCTCACTACACCACTGTAAATAATCTACCTCTTAGGATATTTATTATTTAAATGAATTACTTATTTTACTAACTACAGAAAAATATAATTTTTTGTGATTTACATTCTTTTAAATAATTTTTTTCTCTTTAATTTGTTCATATCCTGTTCTCATTAGGTTCATGTCTTTTACACAAAAAATGTCAAATTCTTAAAATATGTAAGTTTTATAAAACACAAGAGAAATAAATGTTATATAACCTAAATATGAATTTCATCACTATATTTCAATCAAGCATTTAAAACCACTGATATAGCAAAAACAATAACTCGTTGCTTTAATGAATAAAAGGTAAAAAAGATTTTGAGTGTATCAAATTTATTGTAAGCAATCTGTAATGCTTCCTTACTGCCCAGTTACTTACCTAGTTAACCTAATTGTTTTTCATACTATTGCACAGCAATAAACTACATGAGAGTTCTGAATGTAAGAGATTCACTTACCTGTTAAAATAACACACAGAAAAGCTTTCAGATAAAACTAACACACAACACAAGAATCACCCTCACTTTCTTGAAGGCACTTGAAGCAAAAGTAGCCGAAGGCTGAGGATACATTGCAAGTGTGACTTTTTGTCTGCCACAAGGACTTTTTTCTTCAGGCTGCCGTGAGATTCTATCCTTAAGTAAAGGAGAGAGGTCTCTCTGAGCCGCTTTCCCAAATTTTACACAAGCCATTCAACTGAAGCCACAGATGTCAAGATTCAAGGCCAGCCTTGCCTTGAGCAGACTGCCTCACCAAGTGTTCACAATCACAACATCCGAACATGTATGACTTTTAGTTGAGAAAGCCATGTTAATCCCAAGTCTCTGCTAGGCCTGGGAGATGTGAGTGACCTATAGAAAACACCAGCATTTTCTTTGGAAAATCCACAAAAAAACCTGGGGGGTATCTATCACCTGGGCGTCACGTGGGCCTGTGCAGCATGCACTCCAATCCCAACACAGCCTGGCGCCCCTCTAGCATGACATCCAGGGGCAACTGCCCCTCCCTACCTCCCCCCTCACTACGCCTCTGACTATATTACACTTGACTGTCTAGATAGGTGTCAAGGGCTGGAATACTTAAAGGGGACTGTATTCGGATTCTTGGTGAGCAGCGTGGTATTACAGAAGCTGTTTTGTTATTGGCTTTGTTAATCTAACTATAGAATAAACCACCAACTCTGGGGACTGTCTGCTCTGTTCCTTGCAGTCTGCCCTGAGTAGAGCATTCTCAGAGTGGCTCATCCAGACATCCAGTCACACCTCGCTCTTCCTACACCTCTACTGAAACAAGATTGCTTGAAAGACTTTAAATGAGAGGAATTTTCCCAGGTTAGAAAGGGAATCCAGACTTTGTATTAAGAACTGTAAACTGCCTTCAAAATCCAGAGGCTTGAGAAAAGTTCTTTGTTTCAAATTTTACTTCGCATGGAAAAGTTTAGGAATTAGCTTGCGATTTTTATCTTTTATATCTTTTAGAAACCAATTCTGACTTATCTGCGTAGGCTACTTATAATCACATAAAATATACATTTCTATAGTTAATAAACTAGCTTAATGTTTTATCTAAAACAGTGTGGTTGAAGAGTCTGAGGACTCTACTGAGATTAACCTAACAAAGGCTGGTGCATATGCATTTCCCTTTCATGGAATGGTGGACTAATCAATGAACTTACATTGATCAAGAAGAATTTGAACAGCGTAAAAGGCACATTTTGGGGGCGCAAGGCTGGGACTGAGGGATATACAAGTGTCACCTTATATTTCTCATGAGAGGCTGGAAAAGCATTCATGTGATTTTGCAAGAGATGACTCTCATATATTAATGGCTATGTGAGAGCAAAGCCTTAAGGGGCTACTTTTCACTAGTACAGCAGTGTGAGAGAGAACCGGAGCTAGAAAGTTAAGGGGCATCGCAGTTCTACAATCCAGATTATACCCTGGGGGATGTCACACAAATAACTTCTTTATCCCTAACTTGAAATTCTCCTGTTTATGAATCAAAGGATCACATTTGCCCTTTTGGCTGCTCCATTACCTTGCCCAAGGCTATGTCTACACTGCACCATAGTTCAAAATAAGTAATGCAATTTTTGCTACGCAAACTGTGTATCTTATTTCAGTCTTATTTCAAAATAGCTTATTTCATAATTTGGCATTGGTCAAAATAATGCACTAGTCTGAAACGTCCCTGATTCCTCGTGAAATGAGGTTTACTGGGATACTGGAATAGTGAGCCCAAAATCTTTCTGTTAAGATGAGGGATAACTATTTTGGGATACTTCCACTATCCCGAAATAGCGCTGCAGCGTAGACCTAGCCCTAGATCAATGTCAGGCTGACATGCTTATGATTACATAATCATCCCATTTGCTCTTTAAGTACTTGCACAACATTATCAGAGAGAGAGCGCGCAAGTTAACAAATCCAGTTTTCTAGGATTTGTGGAATATAATCCTAGCGCAGAGAAGCAAACAGCTGAAGACAGCACACTGATTTCAGCTCCACTAAAACAGAACAAACATGTCTATCAGATAGAATGGACAATACTGCAAAGGAAAATTACTTAAACTTTTAAGAGATTATCACAAACAATTTAAACTACAGAAATTGCTTGAGAGTGTCATTTTAAATAAAAGCAAGCAGATGTACAGCACTTACTCATTCCACTTGACTCTCTTGATAGCATAGCTGTTCTTGTCAATAATTTTTTTTGCCTTGAAAACATTCCCAAATCCACCAATGCCAACTGGCTCTATTTCTTCAAAATCGCTGATAAATCTTTAAAATAATAACAACAATAATAATTAATAATAATTAAAGCTACTTTAAGTCATAGGTATTTTTAATAAATGTCATGGACAAGTCAAAGGCAGTAAACAAAAAATCATGGCCTCCCCATGACTTGTACTAACTAAAAGTTTGGCCGGGGGTGCTCTGGGGAGGAGGTCTCGGTTTGCTGTGGGTACTAAGGGGGAACAAGGTTTTCTCCCGCCTGTTGGTTCTAGGAAAGGGAGCGGGTGGTAGCAGGTAGTCCAGGACCCCTGCTGATGCTGTGGGGAGGGCCCTGCTAGTACTGGAGGAAAGCCAAGCAATGGCACACAACCCGGCTCCCCTTCTGGTGTTGGGGCAGGGCAAGGGTTGGCGGGGCTGGCAGGCTTCCTACATGGCCCTTCACTGCTCTTTAAAAGTGGCTAGCTAGAGGCCTGCAGCTCCTAGGGAGATGGAGTGCTCAGGGCTGGCTCTGGGGATTGGAGTGAAGGGTGGCACTTACCTTGGGGGTGGGAGGAGACCAGAATCAGCTAGCATGTCCCTGCAACTCTAAAAGTGAGAGAGGCCAGGAGCACCTCTGCACACTTCCCCCACCATCAGCTCCACCCCTGAAGCTCCCATTGGCTTTGGTTCCCAGCCAATAAGAGCTGCAGAGCCAGAGCTCATGATGGGGTCAGTGTGCAGAGATGCTCCTGGCCTCTCTCATTTTGAGAGTTGCAGGGACATGCTAGCTGATTCTGGTCTCCTCCCACCCCCAAGGTAAGTGCCACCCTTCACTCCAATCCCCAGAGCCAGCCCTGAGCACTCCATCTCCCTAGGAGCTGCAGGCCTCTAGCTAGCCACTTTTAAAGAGCAGTGAAGGGCCATGTAGGAAGCCTGCCAGCCCCGCCCACATGGAATCTGTGACTTCTGTGACAGACATGCAATAAATAATACATAATCATCATCATCATCATCATAGTGCAATCCGCCCTAATGTTAATTTTGGAAGGTGTGGGTCTGATCCTGAAAGCTGCACAATGTCTTTTGAGAGACAACAAGTATTATCCTACAGGAGACACTCAAACCAGTGCAAGTTCAGACACGGGTCTCATTTAAAAAAGAGAAAGAAGTGGGACACTCTATTTTTGCAGGGAATTGCAAAATGTTATACATATGGGCCAGATACTCAGTTCGAAAATCAGCTTACCGTATTTTCCGGCGTATAAGACGACTTTTTATACTAAAAAACATCCCCCAAAAATCGGGGGTCGTCTTATACGCCGGGTATAAACATACAGGCAGTCCCCGACGTGCAGGTACGAACGGGGCTTTTCTCGCGGTCCCACCGCCCGTGTACTCCGGGGCGAGAAAAGCTGCTCCCCCTCTCCCTGGTCTGCAGGGAGACAGGGAGCAAAGCCTTGGAGCACGCCCGCAGCGGGACAGCCAGAGCACGCTTGAGCTGTCACCCTGCGGGCGTGCTCCACGGCTTTGCTCCCCATCTCCCTGCAGACCAGGGAGACAGGGAGCAAAGCCTTGGAGCACGCCCGCAGTGGGACAGCCGCGGCGCGCCTGGACTGTCCCGCTGCTCGCGTGCTCTGCGGCTTTCCTCCGCGTCTCCCAGGTCAGCAGACCCGGGAGACGGAGCAAAGCCGTGGAGGACTTGGGCGGTCCCGCCACCCCCGTCTCCCTGGTCTGCTGGG